ATATATATATATATATATATATATATATTTGTGTGTGTGTGGCGACTTTTTTAAACCGGGTATGCTGCGTGATAAGACCAATGTTGCAGTGTGACATGCAATAATCTTATAGGATTGCTAAAATCGTTCAGTATGTCTCGGGCTTAAGGCTTGCAGTGTGAACGTAGCTTGAAAGCCCATGAAACATCACCGTTTCAGTCAAATTATTTTTGCTATTTCAGTCACCAAAATTTTAGTGGACAACTCTATTTCTGGTGCCATTTTATACTGCAGAGCTATTTAAAACGATTTCTGGACAAAGAACACATAGGGTCTCACACATACACGACTTTTTCCAGGTGTATTTGTGTGATGGCAAAATTATTAGAAATTATGTCACCTTCTTCCAGAGTGAATGTGCAGGTGATTTTTTTTTTTTTTTTTTTTAATTGCTCCTTTTTCAAAACTTGTCATGCTGAAGAACATGTCAGTGTCTTTCCAGAATGAGTTTGCAAATGATCTTTCAAGTTTCTCTGATATTTGAAACTCATGTCACACTCGTGGCATGTGAAATGTCTCTCTCCAGTGTGAAGCCTCATGTGAATGTTAAGGTTTCCTTTAAGTGTGAAACTCTTTCCACATGGAAGGCAGGTGTAAGGCTTTTCTCCACTGTGAACTCTCATGTGAGTCCGAAGGTTTCCTCTAAATCTGAAACTCTTTCCACACTGAGGACAGGTGAAAGCCTTCTCTCCAGTATGAATTCTCATGTGAATCTTTAGATTTGTCTTGTTTGAGCAAGTCTTTCCACAGTCATTGCACATGAAAGGCTTCTCTCCAGTGTGAGATTTGACATGATTTTTAAGGTGATTACTGTCTGTAAAACTCATTCTACACTGATGACATATAAAACTGAGAGGGAGAGCTCTTGAGTGAATAATCATGTGCTTTTTAATGGTTCCTTTATGTCTGAAATTCTTTCCACACTGATCACATGTAAATGGCTTCTCACCAGTGTGACTGTTCATGTGATACCTAAGGTTTGGTTTTGTTGTAAAGCTCCTTCCACACAGTTTGCAGATGTATGGCTTCTCTCCAGTGTGAGTTCTCATGTGCCTGTTAATACTTCCTTGTTGACTGAAACGGTTTCCACACAAGGGGCATGTGTAAGGCTTCTCGCCTGTGTGGATATTCATGTGGCTTTTGAGGGTTCCTCTTTTAGTGAAACATTTTCCACACTGTTGGCAGGTGAAAGGCTTCTCTCCACTGTGAATCCTCAAGTGGACTTTAAGGTTTCCATGTTCATTGAAATGTTTTCCACATTGTTTGCATGTATAAGGCTTCTCCCCAGTGTGAGTCCTCAAGTGGACTTTAAGGTTTCCTTGTTGATCGAAACTCTTTCCACACTGTTGACATGTATAAGGCTTCTCTCCAGTGTGAACTCTCATGTGGACTTTAAAGTTTCCATGCTGATTGAAAATCTTTCCACAGTGCTGGCAGGTGTAATGATCTCTAGTTCCAGTCTTTTTAGCTCTTTTTTTTGTGGAAGTCTGAGTGCAACTAATTGATTTTTGTCCAGTTATGAAATCATGCTCTTTCTTATACTGATCTTCTTGCATTTCATCTAGTACTTCACTCTCCTTTTTCAGCACCATCAGGTCTAGGGTGAAAAGAGACAAATACAAGTTAACCGCAATTTAAAAGCAACAGTAGAACAGACTTTAAAAATTCCCCAAATCTGCCATTTATCCTGGAGATTCACAGTCCTGCAGAGTTTAGCTCCAACACACCTAATAAGTTGACCTTAAAGACCTTGATTCAGGCGTGTTCAGTTAGAATTGGATTTAAAACTCTGCAGAGGCTGGGTTGCAAGGCTGAGCTTGACACTCCCGTTTAAATTATTAGAAATATGCAGACCTTTCAACAATGTTCAATTTTGCACAAAAAACAAACAAACCGTAATTGTGAAGTCAAATTTTTTACACCCCATTGTAACACGGAAACTGTACTTCTTAAAGTTATCTCTGTTTTTCTAGAGCTATTGGATTTTCAACAACACTGACCACAACATTCTCTTGCATAGCTTGAGTTATATAGGCATTTGTAGACAATAATAATAATAGGATTAATGCCCTATCTAACTGCTACCACTTTCTTTGTGTAAATTAAGAGATGTCTCATCAAACACAGTATGCAATGCCTCAGGGCTCGGTATTAAGTCCTCTGCTTTTCTCCTTGTATACGTTTTCCCTGAGAATACAATAAGTTTCATGTCAATTACGAATAATCAGGAACTCACTGCGCCTTCAAACTAGCCCAAAAGAGGTGATACACCTATAGTTATGCTTGGGATTTTAGGGAAAACTTTTGAAATACTTAACATATATAGTTTTCTTACGTACACAAACCATCTGGGTTCACAAAATAATGATTAAACAGTTAATCACAATTGTGAGAAATTTACATTTCATCAGCATTACTGCACTTTCACAGAAGCACAACTCTAGAGAATGTGCAAGCAGGATTTGTTTTACCTCTAGTTTCCTGATTTATTGTGTTTATATCATTTGCATTACTATACTATCTACATTATGAACAATGGCAAAGCCTTAAGAAGCTTCTCTCAAAAGCTAAAACAGTAGATTTGGGATTGGTTTATAATGCATGGAATTTCACCATTCAAATCTAAAGCATTAGAAAAATAGTGTTCTCTCAACTATGTTCAGTTTTTGGCCTTTTGAGTCTTTATTATTAGGACAGTGCAGAGAAGACGGGACACAACAGGGAGAAGCAAGAGGGACAGGATGGTCAAAAGAACTTGAGCTGGGACTCAAATTCAGGTTGCTTGAGACACATTGGCACCACAAGTGGGAGCTCTGCCAACTAGGCTATTGGTACAACACAACCATGTTCAGTGCCATTAATTCATTTACACGAAAAATTACAAATATTATCAGATTGTTTTAAATAATTTTTTGGAACATAAAAGTATAAGAAATGCTGGGGAAAAAATGCAATGACACATTTAAACAAAGGCAAACAACCAGTAGGTGTCGGCAAAAGACTGTTTTAATGAGAGAGTCATTTAGTCATTAATTCAACTGATTTGTTCAAATGGCTGATTCATTCAGAAATGAGGCAAGTGACAGGCTGTGTTTAAAATGGCACACTAGCTTACTGCACAGTACACGGTGCACGCTGCCTACAATTTTTTTTTTAAGAATAATGTGTGAAACAATACAATAGAATAATCAACAAATAATGTTTCAGA